AATTCACAGTGAATGACAGTTCATTGTGGCTCGTGATTAAGAGCTGAGTGCCTGAAGGAGAATGCCGAACCCACTGACTCCTCCATCCAATGCCATCGGGCAGGGGAAGAGGCTGGGGGAGGAGGCAGGGATGGTGACCTAATCTCTCCTCCATTCGTTCGTTCGTTCATTCGTTCGTTCATTCATTCATTCATTCCCTCGTTCATTCAGCAAGCAGTGTGTGAGTGCCCACTATGTGCCCTGGGGCTCCCACAGGGCAGACGTGTTACCCAGAAAGCCACTCTGGCCTCGCTGACGGTTCGGCCTTGCTTTTTTAAGCTCACAAGCGGACAGCTCAGTCCCTGAGCGTGGTGCCTGAGCCTCCGGGTACCGAGGAACACCTTCTGTCCATCCGTCGCCCACCTTCTCCCCTCACTGTCATCCCCACTGGGAGGGGAGCTCGCGCAACACGCAGCGGTTGTCTCGGGTTCAGCTTGTCCCCGGGTTCATCACAGTTTGTACAGAACGCAAATGCACGCCCTGCCTGGGTGGCTCCGTGGTTGAGCGTCTGCCTATGTACCAGGAGGTCAGGGTTCGAGTCCCGGTCAGGGCACAGCCCCGAGTGGCGGGCTCGATCCCCAGTGTGGGGAGTGCAGGAGGCAGCCGATCCATGACTCTCTCTCATCATGGATGTTTCTCTGTCTCTCCCTCCCTCTCCGTTTCTCTCTGTTTCCCTCTGAAACCAATAAAAACATATTTTTTAAAAAATGCAAAAGCAGGGGGCTGTTCCCGAGTCCAGGAGACTGAAATACGCACACGGCGGGTCTGAGGGAGCAGGCCGCCCTCTCAAAGGAGAACGTTTCCAGAGGAGGACGGGACACCCCTCTAGGCCTGACGCTCTCCGAGGGGGACGGCGCCACACGCAGCATCCTGAGGGGCGCAGGCTGCTGGAAACCAGAAGCCACCCTGGCACGGTGCCCAACCCCGGGCTGCCCGGCCCTCCTCCCGACTCCCTGGGGGCGGGGGAAAGAAAGCTCCCGGGCGGGGCTGCGACGCTGGCCTGGGTGCCATGGGCAGGGGAGACCCTCCGGGGAGCACTCCAAGATGCCAGCGAGCGGAGGCCCACATGCCTCCGCCAGCCTCAAAGCAAATCATCTTTTAATTCCAAAAACCAAATATTTAATTTATGCTTTACCTCAAATGTCAAGTCCACCTCCCGGCACATAGCTTTGAAACCACGTAAGGAGACCTAACACTTTCCATATGCTGAAGACATGGGGCCTTTTAATTGTGCCAACTGGTATCATTCAAGGGTAATTCCCCGGGAATCCGGGCTCCGGCAGCAGCCGGGCCCGCCTCCAACCTCAGCGTCCAGCCCCACGGGGAC